ACCGCTTTTGATATTCACTGGTTTAGCAACCTGCCGAAAAATCAGGTGCCCGAAAATTCAAAAGAGCACCAGACAAGTCAGCGATCGATCCCCCAATGCCCAAACTTGTAACTCTTATACCTAGTTTTGCAAAAGAGCCTTTTTTACTACCATGAGAACCTACTTGACACTCGATATGCTGAACGAAGGTCTCTTTTGTGTCCTCGACGGACCATTCTTGAATTAAACCGATTAACGATATTGTGTGCGAGCAAACCCCGTTTATGACCCATCGGTTCTATTCACTTGAACTGATTCAATATGAATGTTGTTTTTTTTCTGCCGTTCCTCGTGTGTTTAATGACCGAATTTTATTTGTCGTGAAAAGATGGAAATTCTAACGTGTCGGTTTTCAACTTTTCGGATTGTTTGGGTGTCGAGTTACTTACGGCGTGAGAGTGTAGGTGTAACTGTAGATATGAAGAAGCGCAAGAATTCATGTAGGATCAGGTGAAACATTTTTTTTGTATTCATCCTCTTGAACTGAGCAACCAAAAAGTTTTGGTTCAATGAATTGCCTTTGTGACAGAATTGGTAAAAAACAGTGTTTACTTTTGGGAGTATTTGTAACTCTGATCAGATGGTGAAGATTTGTGCAAATGAAAAATTATCACCGAATACTCCATGTTCAATGCACCAAATATAATCAGGAAAAGTAAAAAAAAACATAGAAATTGGTCCCAACAAATGTGGCTTAGTGCAGCCCGTTTTCCTGTTGCAACTAAATATAGAGTAGTTTTTGTCCCAAATTGCCCATTTTTTAACCGTAAATCAAAACTCCAATTAACATCTTTGATTGACTTTCAACCTCTGCTACCAAAAATGACAATTATTCCCACTAAATTTTTAACTCTATCAGTTTGGGCGCCAAGCTTTACTACGATTTGTCGAAATAATCCGTCACCTTTTGGGCGCAAAAGTTGAAAATAATGAACATTTTTACATGCATTTTAACCATAAAACCGACAAAAGTGACAATAGTGGAAATAATTGGCACTTTATGCTTTAGTCACTGATGAAAAAACTTTTGCGAGAAATCACTTTTTACCATACATTTTCAACAGTAAAACTGATAAAAGCGTCTATGAACAGGGACAATTATTTTGACAAAAACAATTATATTTTCGGCAGTAAAACTTCAAAACTGGTAAACAATGTTTACTCCAGAGGCAAGATCAGCAAAAAAAATCACATTCTGACGGGCATAGTTTTTCACTTTTTGTTGGTAAAACTCGAAATTTTGGAGCCAAAACTGATAATCATTAGCACTAAATCTAGATTTCTTACACTTTTGGTGTTGCAAAGGATTGCCAATTTAGCAGCATTTAGAACAGCAAAAATTGTATTTATAAAAAGAAAACCTTAACAATTTAGTGGGAACAATAGAAACGTTTTGGTAACAAAACTTCTAAGCTTTTGATTAACGTTGAGGTTTCGACCGATAATATAACATAGTCATTGTGTGAGATCAAAACATTTTTCCAGGYAATTTAAACRGTCACTTCAAKATTTCAATTAAATCAAATTTGTTTGGTATTTTTGTGGAAATAAACCAACGATTTAATGAGAACTATTGTTACTTTTGGGAATTACAAATGCGACTRMTTTTKCAACTAAAAAGCACAACTATTTCCTAAAAATTTTCGATTCTATCAGTTTTGTCAGCAWAACTTGAAATCTAGTGCRGATAGAACAGCAAAAATTGCGTTTYCTCGAAGAAAACACCATCGTTTTAGTGGGAGTAATTKACTTGAAAGAAGATRTTTTAATGATTCGGGCTGAGGTCMATTTAAGAAAAAAACCTGKTTTAAATGCAGTKYTAACAGGAAAATTTGCAAATGTTATYATGCTTTTWTTTAACGAAAATGGCAATTATTYGCTCTAAATCTTCAAGTCAACTCCTAGAAAACAAGCAAACCATATCCAATCTAAGAGAGCTTAGAGCAGAAAAACTGTRTTTTTAGGAAGGAGAACACCAACGATTTATTCGATTKATTAAACTTTATTCAGCTGAACAAAAACAACCAAACCGTCGTTGGAAAAACAGTAGTTTTGAWAAAATCCTCATTTAAATGCATTTTAGCCGTAAAACGGGGAAATTCCTCAACCATTAAGACAARACAAGCATCCAAWAGCACTAATTTTCATTTAGAAGCTCAAAATGACARTAATCAGTTTCCCATATGATTTTAATTGTCTGGTCTATTGGTGGCAAAGCYYYAAAGTTATTAAGCAAAAAAATGGCAATTAAGTCCTTCAAAAAATATAAATATAAATAAACKTATGAAGTTGCAATAATTAATCGAATACACAAGCAGCACACAGAAGTTTTGTAGCAGAATGCATCGAAAAAGGTTTAGAAAAAACCAAATAAGTCAATAGAAATATAGTTTCAACCCCAAAAATTGTAAGGAAAATCGATTCTTTGGGGAAAAATCCAGCTCAAAAGCCTAACTATTAGCTCTGTGACTCCAGTTACGTAATATCCCAATAAAGCTGTAGAAGACATATCGGTTTTTCGGACCGCCCAGGTGAAAACCCTCGGTTTGCTACAATTGTTTCCTAGAAAATTCCCTCGAAAATCAAAAGATTAGGACAGACAATGCGAGTGTGACGTTGAGAATTATGTCGCACATTCACGCCTGCAACCTACAACTCACAAAGAATCGGTAGCATTTGTGAACAATTAAGATCAATGAGTTTTTGTGTCCATTTAGTAGTCACATGGGGAGTTTTAATGCCGAAGCTAATTGAAACGTCCGTCCAATTATATTTTTCTTTTTCGCCTTTTCTAATGGCGCTCTCACGTTGCGCTCATTTCCTACCTTTACCAGCTACTATTTCGCCTGATTTTGCTCGCATTTAAATGTAGACTTTGTAGACATACAGATCAAAAAACTAATCTTTCGCAAACATGGCTTGAACTAGTGAGATTTTCCGCTTTTTAGACTATTGTGGAAAAGAGTTTCTTGAACCAGTCCGCCTRAAATCCCGAAAAACTCACCAACTGTAGTTCAGTAGCCTGACAAAAAGCTTGGAGGCGCTTTTTTGGCCAAAAGCCTATTTTGCTTCGGAAATTTCKCGACTATTTCCCAAACCGTGCGTTGAAAGAGATCCGTTACAAATTRTATATATTCTTCTTGCTGACCAGCGCCCAACCTTTTTTCTTGTGTGACACGCCGCGTTGTACAGCGGCAGTCTTCATCAGTTCACTGTGTCCGAAAATTTATGGCCTGAAAAAAATCGGCCAGAAAATCGGATGATTTACAGCTGGGGGTGCTTTCCTGACACGCACATAAGGGCTTTCTAAGCAGCGTTGATGGTCTGCGCCTTGTCGGTATGTTCTTCTTGTTTTCAAATGTATTTAATTACACAAGGACCGCTACTATTGACCATTCGGAGCCATCGGCTCTTATTTCACTAGCCATCCGCATTGATGACTTTCGGCTTTGCATAAAGGGATTTATTGAATAATTCTTGTAGTCAACCGGATGGTCAAGTGGAATGTTTGCTAATTTTAGTGGTTAGAAAAGCTAAAGAAAATGTTCAATTCGTGTTTGTACGTAGCCGAACTTATATAATTAGAGTTTTTTGCAAAAATGTGTTTTTTAGCTTTGACTGATATTTTTTTGCTTTACTTTTTATTCAAAAGCGCTCTATTTTGTAGAGTTTTACTTAAAAATACTGACGATCTGGAGATCGTTTACGCGAAAAATTACAAGATAAATGTGTAGCTTTGTAAAAATTTTACGAAAACTTTTTTCAGCATCGAATTCGGGACAAAGACGAAAATAAATTCCTCCCGTTTTTCCCGAAAACCATTAAGCTTTTCTCCAAAACCAACCTAAAACTAAACATTTTTAATCGAAAACGCAGACAACAATAATTTTCTGATGATTTTCTTCTTTTCTGACAATAATGGGGTCTTTTTGGACAAAATGTAAATGAAGATTGTTACAAAATTCGCCGCATTCATCGGTTTGCAGGGAACTTTAGAAAACCCATTCCAGCTTCGAATTTGGCACAAAAAGCAAATAATTTTATTTTTTTTTTGCCTAAAGAGCAAAAGTTATTATTTGGAAAATTCTCCGCCCTCATCGCTCTGAAGATTTTTAAAGTTTATTTAAATTTTCAGGACATTCCAGTTTTAAAAAAGCTTCTTTTAAGCAAATCTTTCTACCCAAAAAATTGCATTGTTTTTTAGTTTTACTTAAAATGCTGACAATCTTCAGGTAATTTCTGTAAAAAATTGTAAGATAAATTTTATTGGAACATTGGCCTCTTAACAGCATTGCAAACATTTTTGGAAAACTTTTTTAAGCTTCGAATTATGGACAAAACCCTAATAATTATTTCTGGGTCCAAAAATATTTCGCCGAACTGCAAAAGCGAAAGTTTATAATCATTTATTGGGAAAACTCTTGGAAACTGGAAAACTTCACTTTTAGGTCAATATTTCTAAACAACACTGTCTCTAAACAGAAAAACCGCGTTTTTCTTGACGTTTTACTGTAAAATACTGGCAAACTGATTTGTTTATGCAAAAAAATTAAGAGATGGATTTTACAAGAAAACTCGTCGACTTTCTTTGAACCCCGTTCTGTTGCTGTGAAAATCTATATGAGTTTTTTAGTTGTTTGAACAAAGTAATAAAGTAAAACAATAAAATATGGTTTTCGGTCCTTATATAAGTACCCTTAAACGCGTTTGTTTGCATTATTATACAATCGTAGTTAATATCATCATAAAGTAACTCGGAAGCTATCACAGATACGAAAACAATACCAAAGGCAAAAAATCTTGCACATTTTATTGAGAAATGAAATTTAAGAGAATAAAATAAATTGGACTGGAAACATTGACCATAAACCTAGCAAAAAGTACATCCTGTAGATTATGGCAAGCATTGAGCATTACTAATATAATCACGAATAACCACCCATAATGAGCTAGTAAAAGTTTCAAATTTGTAGACAAAACCAAAAAAACTTTTTACATCCTGTATTTTGTAAAAGAAGCCTGTGTTGACTCTGTATATGCACATTTGTCGTTTCGCCTAATCTCAGTTCACGTTATATTCCATTTTAACTTCACCAAAACAAAAAATAAACTTAAAAGTCCCTAACTAACTCGCCTTAAGTGCAAAAAACTTAATTGCAATCAAACTGAAGAACATCAAGAAAGCACTGTGTATTTTCCAAATGGTGCGTTATGTTCATTGGAAGTAAATCACTGCGTTTGGGCTGTTTTTCCTTTAATTACTCCAGACAACAGATTACCAGAAAATTAATCTGCCCATATTTTTTTTCGATCCAAAATGCAGCTCTATCATTAAATCACGCATTCGCTTCAAAGCTCAGTTCTTAGCCGCCAAATAGAGCCAGGTCCGCTCATTTTCCATCCTAATCATTCTTCGGGGGTCACGTAGTAATTAGAAGCTTCTTTTTGGGCTTATTTATATGGACCAGAGCAGATAGTTTTAATTATAGGTTGCAGATATTGTTTTAGAAACTGTATGATATATTATAAGGCAGATACGTCTCGTGCAAATGATCGAAACCGGCTCAAGCTTAATACCTATGTTTAGCTGATATTAAGGCTCTGTGTCAACTCGGGGATTTTCCCGTGAGATTTTTTAACATAGGTGCAATGCTCTGGATTCAAGGGCCTAATTAGCAGAAGAGAAATTTTCTGCAGCCCTAATTTTGTTTCCAAAATAGTGCTGTTTTGTTTAATTAAAACACCCAACATATGGGTTAAACGCGGCTCGTTTGAAACGCGACTTCGATACGAAAGGAAGGTAAATAGATCGGCCTTAATTCCAATTCAACGGTCGGAAATTCATCTCGTTAAAGACTTTGGCTGCCTCTTCGGCCCCTTTTCCTCCTAGAGGGTTGTCTTTCCCACCCTTAGGGGAGAGGCGCACAGCATCGCGCGCAGTCACGCCTCCTAAAGACCATCATCATCAGTAGAAAATACCGACACCGGTCCCAATCTCAGTTATTAGTGAACCATGCGGGAACATAGATAAGAAGGAGAAGAAGTTGAGTGTTGAACTATGGTGGCCCCTCAAACAGTGCAGCATCTTGACAACACGATCGCAGCGCAATCGCAGGTGCGTGTCTTTAATGATAGTGTTCGCGATTAGGTGCCCCTTAATCATTATTTTATACGAATTTACTACGGAGGTTTCTTCCGCCTTTAGGCTACCAGGTGAACTTGGTTTAGTGGGTGCGAACATTCATTTGCCCCAATTTTTTTAAGTCGACTATTTGCGTTTAGTTCCGTCGATCTTGGCCAAAGTGAACCAATTTTTAACCTTACTGTAAAGCTGTATTTCTTCTTCGTGTGAGTGCGTGTGTGTGTTAAAAAATTATAAGAAAAAATGATATATTTTTTCAATTAAGGAACTTGACGCTGTTTTGGACTATGGATCTTACTAATCGTTCGCATTAATTAGCCATCCAAATCTCGATATGGAATTCTGACTACTTTAATACTGACTACAATTTAATTAAATGAGTTCTCCGACTTCTAAAATCTTGAAAATTCTGACAGACTCTGAAGATGCACGTCAGTCGTGCGTGCGAAACGTCAGGCGATTCTTTTCCTCAGTGGTACAATTGCGTGAAGACATCGATTTTCAGGGCAGCATTGATTTATTTGACAAAATCGTATTTTTTTTTGGATTTCACTGAAATTCTTAGGACGTTCAAACCGACAAGTTGCTTATAGATGACGAAAATTCGGCTTCTGAGGCTCAATAGAAAGTTCATTAAAAAAGGGCATGTAATTGTGTGAAAAAAAATTAATAATTTACTCACATTTTATTGACATTTTTATGGTCTTTAGACCGACAACTTTCTTATACCTGGCGGAAATTTTGAGTTGCTAGTAAACTTCGATGAGAATTTGGCATTTTTTAATGAAGGGCTTGTAATAACGCGGGAAAAAAATCAGCCAAGCATTGATTTGGCTCACAAAAATGAGTGTTTGCTCACATTTTGTTGAAATATTCGAATTGTTTCAGTGGAACTTTATCCATCAATGACGAAAATATTAAGTTGTTACTTACACTCAGTGAGAAGTTGTAATTTATTAAAAAAGGGTGTGCGATAAAATTCACGTTCAGCCCAGCATTGATTTGGCTGAAAAATCAAATTTTCCCACATTCTTTTCGAAATTTACCTTTAGAAAAAAACTATGAAAATCTGCATGCCTTTTAACGGAGAATTGGGTCAATTTCTTGTTTATATTTTTATTATTTCTTTCTGTGAAAACTATAGAATACTAAGACAGGGCTGGAATTGGCTTCAGACATTGTTTGTCCGATTGTATACATTTTATCAAATTTTATTAAATTAAAACAAAAAACGGAATCTGGGTTTTTGGCTATCGCTTCTTCACTGACATGCTCGTTTAAATATTTGATATTGCGCAACAAATCGACCCTTTATCGGTTACAAAGCTTAATAAAATAAAAAATATAAAATCAAGCAAAAATTATCTCTCAAGATCCGCAAGAAATTAACTATTCAAACAACCGATTTCGAAATTTAATTGACAAATTTAAAGCCAAGATGAACTAAGAATTTGTTTTGAAAACTTCGAAAACCGTTACAGACATTTTCAATGCGATCTTTATTTACAGCTTGGAGCTTGGCCTATTTTTGTTTAGTTTTTTATTGCTTCCTTTTATGTAGACCGTAGAAAATTAAGATTTCGCTTCAGAGATTGATTTTTCGTTTGTTTGCATTTATGAAATTAAATATTTATTGGTTGTTTGTGAACAGATTTAGATACGTTGTAAACCCAGTTCCATGATCTACAAAAAGCTTAACAATTTTACACAAACCCGCAAAAAATCAAGTACTTATTCAAACTACTGATTTTGAAATTATATTAAAACATTTAAAGCCAATTGAAATAATTAGAAATTATTTTGGAAACTTGAAAATCTACATATATTTTTAGGTACCTATACAGAACTGGGTTAATTTCTTCTTTAGATTTTATTGTTTTCGCTTTTAGAAATTAAAAAGTAAAAAGATTCAGAGAACAAAAATTCACTTCAGATATAGTTTTTCCGTTTGCAGGTATTGATCAAATTTTATTTAAAAAAAGGAAAATGGCCTTTAAGCTATCGCTTAAAAGATCTAAAATTACGCAAGAAATCAACCATTTATCAGTCGCTTGTGAACAGATTTCGGTACTTTGAAAACCCAACTCGATGATCTTCAAACGCTTGACCAACTTAAAAGATTTAAAAACAATCAACGATATTAAATTAAAATATGCCAAATTTTGCACAGTTCACAATGAAGTTCAATATTCACTTAATTTCGAATAATTAACTTAACTATGTTCAACAGGGTTTAATGTCTGGCAATTAAGTGTTTCGACTCACTTTGAATCTAAAGCGGAAATCTGGACATAAATTGCGCGATTTTGAGGGAGAACAACAATTAAATATTTCGTGCGATTTTCATTCCTATCTATTTGCGTCATTTTGCTCCTATAATTATGCGTCTGTTACTGTGTGATTCAAATAATCGACTTGAGCATTAATTTGTGTTATAATTCAACATTTAGAAGCTTAAAGAAAATAAAAATCGTGTCTTTACAGAAGTTGCTGGTGTTTAAAAACACCCAGTTTGACAACATTAGTTCCTTTAGGATTCTATTAGTTCAGATTTACATACTTGGTTAGACTGTTGGTTGAATCGAGAAAAATTTCGGCAAATTCGCAAAAACATGGAGTTGTACAAGAATCAATCAACTTATTACCGAATCCAACAGCTAGCAGTGTTCATAAAAAAATTAAACGCCATTGACCATAAAAATGCTTCGTTCAACCTAATTTAGCTGACTAAAGCCATATTTTGAATTTATGTTAAACTTTTAAGGCCGGAATCAAATTAAAATAGAGAAAGTTCATTAAAAATCTGAGGTAATAAAAATCTTGATTCAAACCAAAACCAACAAATAATTGTCTGTTATACTGGCGGGTTTGGGATTGCATAGAAACTCCTATTACTTTATAAAAATGCCCGACGTTTATTCAGTTTTAGAAATAAATTAATCCAGTCCCAAACCCGCTATTGGAACAACCATGTAAGTTTTCTTTGCATCTTCATTGTTCTTTGGGGATGCTTAGGCCCCTACCCGATCGAACCAGAGACGTTTTTCCTACAACATTCACTCTTTTTTGCAGATATCGACACCAATCAGCCTTTTTGCCCCCACTTGTGATAGAATGTACTCGGGCAGCTACACTCAGCTGTCGCCCACTAGCACCACGTCTTCAAGCAGCGACAACTACGCAACCCAAGTGCCTCTGGAGACCTTAAGGAGCCCCCTGGACTATTCGCCGCATTACCAGAACCCCTACCCGCCCCGATACAGCAACTGTTTCTACACACACTCTCCACCCTCTGCCGATATTGCTACCAGTGGCTATCAGCCGCATCAGAATCAAATCTATTCACCCTGGGGCCAGCCCAGCTACATGAACCCATTTGGAAGCTCGCCCAACATCATCAATCGGCCTACGATAGGAGTGAACTTCCCCAGCTACACCGGTAAAGCTAGGCGCTGTATTAAGTGCCAATGTCCCAACTGTATTGATGAGGAGAATGGGATCAAGAAGCCGTCCTCGAAGAAAGTGCACATTTGCCACTATGCAGGCTGTGATAAGGTTTATGGCAAAACGTCGCATCTTCAAGCCCACTTGAGGTGGCATTCGGGCGAAAGGCCGTATGCCTGCCATTGGATGTTCTGCGGAAAGCGCTTTACTCGATCTGATGAGCTTCAGAGGCATATGCGGACCCATACTGGGGAAAAGCGGTTTTCCTGCACGGTTTGCTCCAAGCGCTTTATGCGATCGGACCATTTGGCCAAGCACAAAAAAACCCACAAGAATCCCAAGAAAAGCGAAGAACCAGCCAAGGAGCCGAAGGAGAAACCTGCGACTGTTAAACCTCCAGATTCAAGACTGGCCGAGAACGTGCCTACTACTCAAACAACACCAGCCAATGTGCCTGCTCAAGTTACGCGTGTTGCGGACAATTTCAATCACACGTCGAACATGTTTCCCTCCAACTATCCGTCAGTGCGATTTCATCAGAACTTACCATCAACTTACAATATGGTGCCGCATGGAAGCAACCTGAGCGACTACAGTCCTCAACTGTATTCAGCACATAATCAGTATTTCTCGGATTACGCCTATATGTAGAACCCGTTTGGACTGTTTTAGCGGATATGTGCCATAAAATTGTACATTGTTTATTTTTGCAAGCCCTGTTGACTTTAGGCTTAATTGTGTTCGTACTATATTTGTAAAATACATTGAAAAACAGAAATAAATCTTCTAATTTTCATAGAAATTACCCAGTGTTTTCCTAGATTCCATTTGAACTTTCAGCTGCTTGCAACTCTTGAAAGGCACGTTCCAATCAAATGTAAAGCCGATAAATCCTCACTGCCAACGCCAAAATATCACGATTTTTATGTGTCGCTTCGGCAAACTTGCAGACAATTAGTCAGCAATTCAAAAGCCTTTTAAAAGAGCTTTCATTATTAAATTAAACCTACAATTCAAATCCGACAAAATCAAGTCTTGGCTGGTGCTGCACCTAATGGAAACAATTCCAAACTAGAATGTAGCCAAGCGACAAGCAGATGGAGCCAGCATAAGAAATAATTGAGGGTGCTATTAAATGGGCGGGTTTTACGGATGCATGGCCGCCCTGATAGAGGAGGGCAACGAAAGAAAATAAGACAAAAAAGGCAAATTATAGTGTAATATTATGTATGCGCGGTGGGGTACACACAGCAGTGAAAAAGCTAGTTGGATTTAAGTCAGTTTCAATCAAAACACATGAATGTATGCCACTTTTCCGCAATTGTTACAATCAATGCTTCAAACAGTTGAAAGGTCCCGTTTAATCACTGCGTTTAGTGGTCGGGTTGCACGTTGGTGGCGCTACCTACGCGGGTGTTGTGTTGATTTGATTTTTGGACACTGTGTAGAGTGGTAGGGCCCAAAGGGATTTTACTGTCCGAGGATCGAAAGGAAACTGTCCAACATGGACCGGCAGGAGAGGGAGAAGGGACGCGGGTCTCCGGAATTATTAGCCGTAAGTCGTTGGAGCATTCTTGAGCTTAGGAAACATCAAAATGCACATACTTTTACACCCCCGTGCGGGTTTATGGCCCATTCCTCTCTAATTAATACGTGCATTCAAAAATTATTAAAAAAATGTATAGTTTGGCCATATATTGCATGGTGGAGCAACAACAATCATTCCTACCTGAAAAATCCGGCCATTCACACTTTAACTCAAGTCTTCCCAATATTCATAACAAACACTCCGTTTACACAAGAGTTGTGCTCGATAGTCACTAATTAAAATCCTGCTATTTTGGTCTAGCTAAATATCACTACCGTGAAAAAGCATCTAGGCTTAATTTACCTTGAAATTAAATCGTCGACTCAAGCCTCAAAGAGAAAAACACAAGATTTTTATTTTCATATCTCAACTTTTTCAAGTCATGGACAGTCTTGCATCAACATAATTAACACACTCTACATTACATTGCTCTTCTACACTGCGCCGCAAATTTAACGCATATTTTCCAAATTTCCTAGCTTTTGACTGTGAAGATTTCCTCAGTTGGTCAGCGGATTTGAATAATTTTTTGTCGAGTCAAAGTTCTGTTCTTGCACAAAATTTACGCTGTTAGATAAGCAAACAGATGAACTATTGTTCAGGGCGTTTAAAGACTGTCATGGTTTTTTTGATCAAAAATTGAAACATTCCGCCGATATCCGATCTTAGCCTGATGTCTTCAGAGTAATTTGAATCTTGAATCGTCTGTTTGTCCTGAGCCATTCGAGAGATTTTCAATTTTTATGGCCGGTCACATTTTCCGCTCTAAATTTAGGTACTTATTTATTTAGCCCAGAATACATTTTAAATACCTATTTGTAAAATCCACAGCGAGAAATCAGTCGCTGTTCCCGGACCGGTACAGACAGCTTATAAATCTAGTATAAAAATATACACATATTATACGGACTGTATACAACTCAACGACCCTTGAAAAGCTCTTATTCCTAGTTTTCCTTAAACTGATGAGAGAAAATTCATGTTTCAATGACTCATAGGTATGCAAAAATTTGGTTCAGATCCACTGGTCTTTCTAGAGTAAAGGAGCTATTTTTGTTTACTATTTTTAGTAGTTTGTTTCGAAGCGCTTGCAATAAAAGCCATACTGTTCACTTGATAATAAATCATAGATTGGAGGAATTCAGGGAGTCCTGACTATTTTAATTTATATTTCTTATTTTGACTTATTCTCCTGACTGCGTGTAATTGTTATTATAATCAAAATTAATTCCGGGGTTTCAGTCATTTATTGTCTCTATTTATCAATTATAATTAAATGAAATAAACATAGAATATTTATTTTATCAATTATAATTAAATGAAATAAACATAGAATATTAACTAACACCCGGTATATTGAAGAATTTTGCAAACCAAAAATAATATCCTCAAAATACAAAGAAAAATAGCTGAAAGTAAAAGAAATCAATATAAACAGTATTTTATTCGCCTTGTGTCCAAAATGGACAAAATTAATACTCCAAATGTATGCCAAGGCTTAAAGCAACAACAACTCTACACATGTAAGTAAAAATATTTAAGAATCTGAACGAAGAATTCTAGTCGCTTCCCAGACTTGATTGTCCTGACTTGACCTGTTAGGCTTAATTAATTTTAGAATGTTTTAAAGTATTGCAATTGTGATGTGTGATATGATGAGGCTGTTGACGAACTGTGGTTGTTTTTTAAATTAATGAATTTTTTTTAATTATATGATTAATTAGAAAAATTTTAATTTAAAATTTACAGTTAATTTAGAAAAACTGATGATGATGGAAAAATACACCGAAACGTATTTTAATTGATAAATAGAGACAATAAATGACTGAAACCCAGGAATTAATTTTGGTTTGGAATTGAAACACAGTCAGGAAAGTATATACATTGTTATTATATTTTTTCTTTCCTGGATTTTAGTCATAATGTGAAATAAAAATGTTCATTTCGTTTATTTCATAATACGTTTCGACGAGAAAACAGCGCCATCATCAGATTAAAACTCAAAACAAACCCATAGTTGGGAACCATTTGATTCTTTATAGGCTTTGCTTCAAAACTTCACATTTGAGTTTGAAGACAGCAAACCCATAAAGAATGAAATGTTTCCCAATTTTGGGTTTGTTTTGAATTTGAATCTGATGATGGCGCTATTGTCCCGTCGAAACGTAATATGAAATAAACGATATGAACATTTGTATTTCACATTTTGACTGAAACCTAGGAAAGAAAAAATATAGTGATTTATATATTTTATAATTTTTGTATTAACATAATTTTTAATGTGTTGTGTTGGCTGATATGCGATTGTGAAGGAGTTTTAGGTCTTTGATACCTGATGATGGTTATAAAATAAATGAACTGAAACGCCTAGTTTTGAAAATAAGTGTTAGTGCACTTTAACCAGCTTCTCATTTACCCATAATGAACCGCTACCTCCGATTTATACGAAATATTGTTAAATAAATGACTTAATAGATGTACAATATACGTTTTCAACATTTTCAAGGTTTGAGTGTTGATAATATCCACATTCACGATATCCACAATTTCATATTCAAAATAGTATTGGCAATTTCCACATAATCAGTTGGTCTTTCACTTAAATTAGTTCCAATTTCACAAAAGTAATTGTTTTTAATAAAATAACAAAGAAATTTCGTGCGGAAAATGCGCCGACCGGCCAAAAAAGTTATATCTCTTGAATGGCTCAGGATAAACAGACGATTAAAGATCGAAATTGCTCAGAAGATACGAGGTTACAAACGTGTGTATTTTTTCTGTCTATTTACCTGCGGACGTATTTAAACTTTGACCAAGGAAACATGACACTATTTAAACACCCTGGACTACTGGACTAAATGTTTATTACATTTTTTTGCTTATCTTAGAACTAACATTTTGTTCAATAATAGAGCTATCATATATGTATATGAAATTGAGAAAATGTTAACAGTCAAGGGTACGGAATATTTAAATTTTGCGTTAAATTCTCGGCGCAGTTAAAATCACACTGTGCACATAAGAAGCAAGTGAAAGATTGGTCCTAATTTAGAAGAATTTTTATCAAGTTGTGCGTTTTCAGCTCAAACTGGTACTTATCTATTTTTTTCAATAGGCAGATTAATACCGCTTGTTACAAACTACCCACTTTGGTCAGCGCATTTTCAAATATTTGCTTAGAGTTGGAAAGACTTGAACGTAATAATTCAAATTTTCTAAGCATGGAAGAACATGTCATAGAAGAACTTCGATTAACGTTCAAAAATATCTCTACTATCCTGCAAACTTGGTGTATGAAACTAACAAGTTGAACAAAGATTGATCAATCAACACTGTGATTACTGAAAGAGTAACGATTAGTCACAAATTCGGCAAAATAACGCCAATCACCACCTATACTCTTCCGCATATTTACACGATGAATTTCCCAGTAGTTGAAGCAAAAAGTCATTTAAAACCCTTTAGAGCCCTAGTGTGGTAACAATCAACATTACGCCTCTCAGGAAGGTCGATAGTCAGATCAATAACACGCCAGCGTGTAAAGTGCGGATCAAGTTAACTAAGCGAAAATGCAAATTGATATGCGGCAATAATTCATTGATATAAGAATTTGTAAAGCAATTATGCGCAACAAGGCACTCTTTAATAAATAATTAATTATTGCATGTAATCTATTAAGGCGCTCTGTGCTCGGGCAGTAGTAATCGGGTTCTCACTGCTGCCATTTTCGTGAGTTATTTTATATGCGGGTTTCGATACTTCATTGTTAATTAATTGTTGAACAATGTCCACTTGATACCAGAGTCTCTAGAAAATTTCAAAGCAGATAAATGTCCAGATTCCTTCGCAAATTCTAGACGAGAAAACCAGGAGCCTGAACTGCGAAATAAATATATGAGTTATGTGAATTTGAAGAAGTGCGACTTTGAGCTCCCTCCAATAGACCTACAAAAAAGTGAGTAGTCGAGTCGTTTGTGAGTGTTGTGATTCGTCGTCTTCGCATGCAGGAAGTTGGGGATTTTTATGAGCCAATAGGCATTCGCTGGAAAATAATGTTTTACTGACGTTTTACCAGCACCAATTGCTTACATCCTCAGAGGTGCTTTACAACCTTCAATGTACAGGGTAAGCTTTCGAGCGCAGTACTCCTGACTTGTCCTGGAGGAAGTTTTTTTCGGGGCGGTCAAAAGCCTCAAAAACT